AAAAAAAAAAAAAAAGCCAAACTCACTGCCATTGAGTCAATTTTGACTCATAGTGACCCCGTTGGGTTTCCAAGGTGGTATCTCGACAGAAGTAGATTGCCCAATCTTCCTTCCGAGGAATGGCTGATGGGTTTGAACTACAAGCCTTCTGGTTAGGAGTAAAGTGCTTTAGGCATTACGCCATTGGTGCTCATTTAGAAAGCTTACTAAGGCTTCACATTAGAAATTATAATAATTGATAGAATAAAACATCCTAAGAAGATGTTTGTATTTCAGAAACTTGTTCTTTCTTACAAGAGAGATATGTATTACAAATTTCTTCTAGAGAAACTTTGACTGAAGGAGCTCTAGTGGTGTAGTGGTTAAGGCATTTGGCTGCTAACCAAAAGTTGGTGGCTTGAACCCACTAGCTGTGCCACAGAAGAAATACAAGGCATTCTGATTCCGTAAAGGTTTATACCCTTAGAAACCCAGTGGGGTCATGGTGAGTCAGAAGCAACTCCATAGCAATGAGTTTCGTTTTTTGGTTTGGTAGCATAGTGCCTAGGACACTTGACTGCTAACCAGAAGGCTGGCAGTTCAAACCCACCAGCCACTCCTTGGAAGAAAGAGGGGGCAATCTACTTCTGTAGTGATACTGCCTCAGAAACCCAAGGAGGGGTCGCTATGAATCGGGTCCGACTCGACGGCACATAACAACAACACCAACAACAGTAACAATACTGTGATTTACAGGTTTTAAGTGGCAAAAAGAAATACTTATGATTAGAAATCAAAACACAAAAGAAACAGGACATCCAGAGGGTTTTCTTTATGAATGACTAAGAGTTGAGCAGTAGGTTATTTTACAAGATTAATTACTGACACCCCCCACACTGAGAGTCAACTCAAACTCTGTGGACCATGTGGAACTGCCCCACAAGTTTTCCAAGGCTGTAAATCTTTATGGAAGCAGATTGCCTCATCTTTCCCTGTGGAGCAACTGGTGGGTTCAAACTACTGAACTTTTGATTAGCACCCAAATGTTTTAACCACTGTGCCATAAGTGCTCCTTTGGTGCCAGGGCTACTTAATTGCTGGTATATTGGTTATTACATCATTTTGTTCAAATAACCCACCAGCCACTCCTC